ATGAGCAGTTATGTTCTTCCATCAATCACAAGACAATTCGGGGTGACTGTGGGAGACAAGGTGGGACACACAGATTGGGGCCAGAGTGACATGAAAGGCAAACTGAGAGTGGACTGTGTTGTAGTCAGGGATGGCAGAGAGGTGTCATGTCCTTTACTGTCTCTGACTGATGGATAGTGGCTGCCCACATGAACTCTGAGGCCAAGTTCAGGCTCAGCAGGAATGAATGCGATGATGTGTAGGTGAGGTCTGCTGTGATGCTGGTGGTGGGAGTGGGTTCGGGCAGCATTCCTGCCACGTATTTAGCTTCTTGTCAGCAGTGGGGATTTGTGAGCACTGAGTCTCCCCCTAACCCCTATAGACCACCACTTTGTCATCTGCACGTGGACACTAGTTAGAGATGACCACATTGATATAGGACCCTCCAGGAAATTCTACAGCAATTAAGGAAAGCCAGAGCACTAATGGGTACAAAACCATGCTGCCTACCCTAAGTGAATCATGCATGTGTCGAAAAAACACACTGTTCCTTACAAATATATACAAGTAAATGTTAAAATTAAAAAAAAAAAAGAAAAGAAAAGAAAAGCCAAAACACATTCTAACCAGAGGACAGAGTTTTAAAAAAATCAAGGCAGACTAGAAGCATTAACTTCACTTTGATCCACAGGCTTTCTATTCTGACAAAGGTGATTGGATTAACTTGATAGTTTCTCTCCCTGCAAATCTCTATCTCATTTTTCTTCAGGTTTTCTTTTATGATGAAGTTAGGTTAGTTATTACTTAGAATCATAATCTATTCGTATGTAATGCAAGTTGATTTTCTGACATTCCTGGTACCCCCCGTCCGCCACCCCATATTAGGCTAAGGGGATTTTATTATTTCCCCTTTGTTCTCTATTGTCTGTTTCCAGGAAAGTAGGTACACTTTTGCGTTCTCATCACTGAAGCTACTTAATTCACTGAAGTAAAATATGCAGAGCTTTTGGCTTTTTTCTTTCCTACCTTATATATTTTTAACATACTTGTACAGGGGCTTTTAAGGCCAATATCTGAGGATTTTCTTAGACACTAAGCTGGTTTTGCTAGTAAGCACTAGTAATTTTAAAACTAATTTAAACCTTATGTTGTAGCTGCTATAGTAATTATCATCATCCCATTTTGCAGGTGGGGAACTTGAGACACAGACAGATTAATTAACATGTCTCAGGTCACACAGCTAATAAATAGCAGAGTTGAGATTCAGACCCAGGCAGTCTGGCTTGACAGTCTATACTATTAGTCTCAATGAGTGCAATTATTTTTGGAATTTTAATCCCAAAAGGATTGATGACTGGTATGAAAGGTGTTAGGCATGGTACCTACACAGTAAGACCTAAAGGAAATGTTATATCCTTTTTCCATTACATTTTGCAAAAGTCCCTGCTGAGTTACTGTCTAATAAGTAATGATTTGTGTTTTCTAAATTGAGAAGGCCAGACCACAGAGTAACGCTCCATGGATTAGAGGCAAGCAGGGGTATGTGCTGTCTATGCAGGATACGTTTTTTAAGCAAGAGAAACATTTATTCTCTGTTAGAGGTGGGGACAAACATACATTGCATCTTTAGAAATGGACAAAAAGTTGATTGTCTAACTGTAGACTTCTCCCTTCTGACAGCTAGTTCTACCTTAGGGATTTTTGATGTTGAATGTTGATGAAAAGTAACTCAAATTTGAGATGGTCAGTTTCAGAATGACTACAATGAATAAAGTGAGTGAATACAATTTTGGTAATGTGACAGACCACTCTACTCCTTAGAAGCATTGTTCACACTCCAATTTCTGCCCGTCATTTCTTCATTTTCACGCCCTCCCTAGTCCCCTAAGATAATTACACTTTGTTTCTTGGCTAAAAAGACATTGCAAGTGATTTTACGCAAAATTCCTGGAACTTTAGATTTTTTTTCTCCCAGAGATATTAAGAAATTTCCAAGCCATTTTTTTTCTAATTATAGAAGTAAAGCATCTGCACTGTACCTTATGTTAATATGTGTTCAATAACCTCATTTTAATGTTCTTCAGGTAGTTGTAGTTAGCAGATATTTTTTCTTGCTTTGGTTTATGTACTAATTTATTTATTCACTTAACAAATTAATTACTTAGTTAATGTTTATTTCCATTACTTGCATGTAAACTCAGTAAGAACAGGGATCTTTTTTGACATTTGCTTTATCTTCAGAGCCTAATGAAAAGCCTGTCTAGAGCAAAGACAGCATTCAATAAATATTTGCTGAATGAATACATGAATGAATTGTACACACTTTAGGATTTATAGAAAAGGGAATGAAAGGAAATAGAAGCCCTAGAGATAAACTGTGTAACATTTAAAATATACTTATATATTTAAATATGCCTGTATATACAGGCAGTCCTTGCTTTGCTCAGCAGTGCAGGACCATAAAAATGACCATGCAAGCTGAAATTATGCAAAGTGATCCTAATAATCAATGGGAAAAGTTACTGTTGCCCTATGAAAAATTTTCAAATCACTAAAATCTCTCTTGTTTTTGGCTATAGAAGTACAGGGAAATTAAAAAAAAATAGAACTGATATTTATTTAACATATGATAATTTGAAACTTTAGAAGTGTTGAGATTAGAGTAGTTTATTTCTTTGTAAAATCCTATCAGGATCAGTTTGAATAGTGCTTGCCTTCTTCTTATTGTACAACTTATGAGATGGAGCGAGCTTTTTTTTTTTTTTTTTTTTTTTTTTTCCTGTAACTAAATTCTCATGCTGTCTAAGTTTGGATCAGCTTATAGAATTTTATCCTTTGTGCTTTCCATTTCAAGAAATGTCTCCTAGAATTTCTTTAATGTGAAGTTTTTTGCCAGTGTCACTTGCTCTAGGACATCATCATTCTTTTCATTACAACCACTTTCCTTATTTATGTTGATGAGTTTGCCTTAGCTAAGTTCCTCTGACTCTCCCAAATGATGACTGGAATCATTGTCAGCATTCCATGGGCAGCTATGTCTTCTATAGCTCCGTTTATACTTGATACAAATTTCACTACCAATATTATCAATTTTTGTCTCTGGGCTATATTTTCATTTTGCTGGCCAATTCCCTCTTTTGATTATCCATGTCATTTGGATTTATCATTGGGAAACAAGAAGGTAACACAACTACCCACTTTGCTGTCTGTGTGTGAACTTAACAGACATGCAGGGACCCATCACTGACAGACTTTAGAGGAAGTGCTACGATTGGCCAACGATCATCAGGCACATCTGTTAGTTATGTAGTGATTTATTGACTGAAGAGCAAGCAGCAAATTTGTACTTTATGCAATTGTGGTTAATACTCGTTTAACATGTTAACTGAAATTTGAACTATGCTATCAGGGGGCTAGTGTTGTTTAACTAAATTGTGGTTGCTGAAATACACATATATCAGAACTGAGCAAAGTGAGGGCTGCCTCAATTCCAGGCTTTATTTTATAGAAATACATATGTATTTTTTCTTTACTAGAATGGACTTGCTTTATGCTTATGATTTTTTAAATTTAATTTTATATGGTATACATGTCAAAAAAAACAAAACCAAACCCAGTAATCTTGACTTCATGTTTTATGACTGCATGGTATGTTATTGCCATATAGTTGTACCATACTTTATTTAACTAATCCTCCTTTTTGGACATTTAAGATTTTTCTCTTTTTCGCGATTATAAACAATGCTGCAATGATCACTAAATGTAGCTAAATCTTTGGGATAACTGTTATTTATTTGGAATGAATGTATTTCCAGTGGAAGAAGTGCTGGCTCAGAGGACACACTGTATTCACTTTAAAAACATTTATATATCTTCCCTTTGGAGACGTGTTCTTGTTTAGGCTTCTATCAGCGACATAAATGAGGAGGTGCTGGCACATGATTCTTAAACACTTGCCCATATTAGACATTATTATTCTTTTTCATTTTTGCTATTTTAATAGATAAAATATCTACTTTTTAAAAATAATTAGTTTTGATTACTAGTTAGGTTGTATATTTTTCATGGGTTTATTTGTAGCAAATAAATTTTGATTTATAGAATTTTATTCTCTCCCATATTACAGTAGTTTTCAGATGGTAGGGATTTTCTCGTTTTATTATGTTGTTTGTGTACATCTATTTCTACAAATCTGTGTATACATACGTATATACATACACACAAATATATATGTATATATATATTTATACTTGAATTGCATTCACATGTATATATGTTCTTGGTTTTACTCAGGGATTTTGGAATATTCTTGAGCCTTGGAATATGATCATCAATTTCCAAATTTTTTTTTTCTCTCTTGCTTTTAAGAAAGAAAAAATAACCCACGACCTGGGGGAAATTCTAGTTAATTTTTCATTACATGATTTTCAGGAGATGGGGTCAAAAGGAGCTAGTAGGGCATTCAATTACGTGCTTGAGTGTGTTGGAAAATGTTCTTTTTCCCCCCCTCAGGTGTACAATATTTTACTTGGGCTTGTTTTTCACATGCATCGAAGTGTGACTAAACATTTTTGGGTACTGCCATTATGTAAAGAGTCCCCATCTTGTTAAATATTCCTTCATCAACTTTGTAGTTAGGCAGTTATGGGCAGCGAGGAGCTTGTGGGGGATTGGGCTTTAGGCACTGGACAGAGGGTGGGTGAGTGGGAGGTGAGGACCTAGGGGAAACTCAGGATTGGGGTACTCTGTTGCTCCTCCCACTACCTCATGAAAAAGCGATTGGCTGAAGCTGTTTCTGTCTAATAATTTTGGATGAGCCATTAGTGGGAAGGAAGGGGAAGTTGTGTGTTGGACCTCAGCTCATCTGAGAGCTAAAGGTTCATTGTCACACACACACAGAACTGGAGTGCTGTCCTGGAGAGTGGTGGAGAACCGAGATACAATTCAGAACCAAAGGAAGAGAGAAGGGCTTTGATTTTTTGGGGCTTTTTATTGGGGATAAGTGAGGCTCAGCAAAAAAGATGTCTATTGAAAATGTGGAAGAGAAGCCTAATAACCTTGGGGAGAGAGGAAGAGCCCGGAGCTACACTTTCCTCAGGGTTGTCCAGCCAATGTTTAACCACAGTATTTTCACTTCTGCAGTCTCTCCTGCTGCAGAACGCATCAGATTCATCTTGGGAGAGGAGGATGACAGCCCCGCACCCCCTCAGCTCTTCACTGAACTGGATGAGCTTCTGGCCGTGGATGGGCAGGAGATGGAGTGGAAGGAGACAGCGAGGTGAGGCATGGCTGATGGTTTGCAGGTGACCTGGGAAGCAAGTGCAGAGCAGGAGACTTGAGCTGTGGGGTGCCTTTCTCTAGCCTTAGCACTTTGAGTAGCCGGTGAGCATGATACTGGCTGAGATAAGGAATAAATGGTTCTATTTCTTCTTTTCTTTTACATTGACATGGATGCAGGCTACCCCTTATTTCACTGCTGGAACATTGTTTTATTGATCTGTGTTGTTATAATTTTGAATTTTATGAGGAATTAGAAGTAAATCTCTATATGCTATTTAATAGTAAAATATTTTAAAGAGATAATAAACTCAAGCACCCAAAGATGATAGCCAAGAGATATGTTTCCATAATCTCCACATGTCAGGGTATCTTGTATGATCTTGTCTGATTTATTACCCCATTCCCTGTTAGGTGGGAGGTTGTGAAGACAATGATGGTTACCACAAAGTTGTTATTATTTCAAGTAGAAACCTGCCATCTTTTAAATATCCAGCTGAAAGCAAACAGAAATTTCACCTTAATTTGTAGTTTAGAGACCCGAGTTTTCAGACTTTGTTGCCCTTTAGCTGCATGACACTCGTTTCTTAGAACTTTGGTTTCATTAGTGATAAAGAGTGGATTATAATGCCTACTACATATAATATAAATGTATGCTATATAAACCGTGTAATATATGTAAATATATTATACAATATATGTATAATTATATCATGTTTATTTATATACATTCATGTGTATGTATATATGTGGAAATGCTTTGTAAATTGTCAAGCATTACATAAGGTTTCATTAATGTCATGATAATGGAGCTTTTATTTGCATACACATTCAGTTATACACTGCTGACTAAATCTTCTGTGTCATATACCAATCATGTAATGTAAAGACTTTGATATAATGCAGTCGTTCGTCTCTTATTGTCAACATTTTGTGGAGATACCAATGTATTTCACTTTCACAGAAAAATAATGTTAAGATATGCCTTTTATCTATAATTTATTTCAAATCAATTCAACTCAGTCAGTGGTTTTTGAATGAGTAGTATACATCAGGCACTGTTTTAGGTGCTGGGAGTACAGCAGTGAGCAAAAAACTGTATCTCTGTATATTATTGAAAAGTTTGAAGTGAGTTTACTATAATACCTTACAATCTGAGGAAGGAGGAAAACCAAGTACTGACCTCAGCTTTAAGTGTAAGAAAAGATAAAGGTAGGTGAAAGTCTTCTGTAGTTGGAGATGGAAAGGGATCTGTTTTTGCTGTTGCAGTTCTACATAGGTCATTATAGAGTAAGAAAGCAATTTTTTTTAATCATCTATGATTGGTAAGAGCAAATGAAATATAAAGAAGCAGTAACCCAATAGCTTTTCCTCTTCTGGATGAAGACTCTTTCAAGAGTTAAGGGAAGAACTTTATGTTCTGAGGCATATCTTAAAAGTTTCATACATTATACCATTTGTAATCAAGTCTTTGTTAGGTTAGTTGGATTTTATGTAGTTTACTTACTCAGACTTATGCTTTATAGGTTTATGAATTTATTCTTATTTCTACAACTTTAAGTATTATCGAATGTCTTCAGCCATTTGGAATTTTAGTACTGGAAAAGTTTTATGAATTAATTCATTTGGTAATGGTGAAGAAGCTTTTATTCCTCACCAAGAACTTCTAGGTAGCTTATCCTTGCAGATACACCTGCTTTTAAAAAGTTTAGTAGAGGGCTGAGCCCGTGGTGCACTTGGGAGAGTGCAGTGCTGGGAGCGCAGTAGCGCTCCCGCCGCAGGTTCGGATCCTATATAGGGATGACCAGTGCGCTCACAGCGCTCACTGGCTGAGCACGGTGCGGCCGGTCTCAAAAAGGACAAAAAAAAAAAAAAAGTTTAGTAGAGGGCTCAGCCCGTGGTGCACTTGGGAGAGTGCAGTGCTGGGAGCGCAGTAGCGCTCCCGCCGCAGGTTCGGATCCTATATAGGGATGACCAGTGCGCTCACAGCGCTCACTGGCTGAGCACGGTGCGGCCGGTCTCAAAAAGGACAAAAAAAAAAAAAAAAAAGTTTAGTAGAACCCATGGAGAATTTCTTATCTTCCATAACTTAAATCAGGTTCAGAAAAAAAGGCATTAGGTTTTACTCCTGGTCCTCACAGTAGTGTTAAGGAAAGAGAACTCATTTTTAAATATTTTATTTTCCATTTGCTGGGTGATTCTCTTTCTAATAGACACCTATAACGGGTGTGCTTGTTTTAACTGCTATTAAATAGCTAGTAGCTAATTAATATTTTCTTCTTCTAATTAAGAAGATTTTCATAGCAAATTTCTGCTCCTCCATCTCTTATGCTTTCTTGAAGCTCCCCATTCTTCACTCTTTGGGGGCCCATTCCCATGATTCAGTAATTGCCTCCTATTTCCATCTCTCAGAATCAGTAACCTCTATACTAAAAATCTTCTGTAAAGAACACTTTTAACTCACAAAACATCCTCCCAAAGAAGGATTCCAGAGCAAATACTTTTGCTAGTAACTCCATTTTGTTCTCTTTACCTAATTTCTGATAGGACAATACAGAACGAGAATCATGCTGGTGCAGCCTGAGTTAAGTGTGGGGAGATTTTGGCTTAGGCCAGGCTTTGCTGTTCACTAGCTGTTTAACTTTGAGCAAGTCACGTAGTCTTCCTGAACTTGAGTTTTCTATTCTGTCAAATGAGGGTCATATGGGTGGCATCTTCTCTTACATCATGCGTATTTTATAGCTCTAAGATTTCATTCCTGTGTGTATGCTGGTGTAGTCAGTGGTGACTCTAAGAACTTCTTTGATTCTTATGTTCATCTTGAAATTCTGTGAGTAGTTACCATAGTGTAGAATTCAGGTGTAGTTTTCTGTTTTTTCTTTCAGCCAAATGCAGACTACACTTTGTTTTACATGACCCCTGGTCCAAGAAGGGTGGTGGAAATCACAGTTCATTATATAGGTAATTGAATGTTGGCTGAAATGGTCATAGTATTTTCATCTAAGATTCTTAAAGGTTATGGTGGTCTTGAATACTTTGCCATTATTAAAGATTTTATTTCCTTGGGAGTACATGTGCGATTTTGTTGACATAGTTGCTCCCCAGGAGACTGTGCTGCTGGAGAGAGCATTGGGAGTCTACCATGTGTCAGGAAAAAGCTGTCCAGGAAGAAAAATTACTTAGATATAGTCTATACTGTAACTTCTGTTATATAGCCTTTCCATAAACACTACAAATTAATTAATTGTATATATGATATTATTGTTTTCCTTTGTCTCCTTCATTACCACAATTCATCTGAAGATAGGAGCCACTATGTCTGTCTTTTCACTATGGTATTTCCAGTGCCTTGCAGTGCCTGGTTTGTAACAGGTGCTCAATAAATATTTGTTGAATGTGTGATTAGTTGAGAATTGATTATCTTAGAAACAACTTGTCTGAATATAATACTTTCTTAGAAAGATTATTGACCAAAGATGGGCTTCTGTTACAATTCATCTCTTTCTGACTGATGGACAGCTGTAGAATGACAAATGCAAGGTACCCAGCACACCACTGATAAAGCTCAGAAAAGGACCTGTGTTTAAAGTTTCAAACTGATTCATCAATTTATCATTTATAATTCATCATTTATATCTCTAGTCTAGACATCTTTCCTTATTTAATTGGAAACAAATACAGTCATTTTTTGGTATCTGTGGGGGGTTGGTTTCAGGACCCCAGTGGATGGCAAAATCCTTAGAACCTCAAGGCCCTGATGTTACATGGTGCAGTATTTGCATATATCCTATGCATATCCTCCCATATACTTTATTTACTTATTTATTTTTAAAGCCTGTAGCATCCTGTATTCTCAGGTGATCTCCCATCCAAGCACTAACCAGGCCTGACTCTGCTTAGCTTGTGAGATCAGATGAAATCAGGAGTGTTCAGGGTGTTATAGCCGTAGACTTCCGACTTACTTTAAATAATCTCTAGATTACTTATAATATCTAATACAATGTAAATGCTATGTAAATAGTTGTTATACTGTATTTTAAAATTTATATCATTTTTATTGTTGGGTTGTTATTTTTATTGTCCCCTTCCCTCAAATATTTTGACCTGTGATTGACTGAATCTGTGAATTCAGAGCCTGCAGATATGGAGGGCCCATTACAATTGGAGAGCTAGTAGCAGTCTTGAAATTAACATATCTAAAACTGAGCTCCAGATGTGCTCCTGCTACAGAGTTCCCCAAGTCAATAAACAACTCCAGTTGCTTGAGTCAGAAACATTGGAGTCTTCCTCAACTCCTGTTTTTCTGTACATCTATAATATGATCAATTGGAAAATTCAATCTATTTTACCCTCAAAGATATTCGGATATCCTACCACGTCTCACATTTAGTACTGCCACAGCCCTGATTCAAGCTAACGATCATCTCTCACTTAGATTACTGCAAAGGCCTCCTAATTAGTTGGTTTCCCTGCACCTGCCCTTACTTCCCTCTTTAACTATCCACCATGATCCCTATAATTTTATCTGTTTCCTTCCTCTTGTTCACTCTGCTTGAGCGTCACTGGCCAGTCACACTACTTTGTCAGGGACTTTGCACATGCTGTTCCCTTTGTCTAAATGTTCCTCCTGGCATGCACTGCCATAGTTGTCTGAATGGCTCATTTCCTCACCACCTTTGGTCTTTATTCCAATACTGCTTTCTCAGTGGCTGCCCTATCTATAATTGAATTGTTTCCTGTGACATACTCTCTGCTTCAGAATGTTTTTGTGGTAATTTCCGACTTCCATTTGTGATGTCCAATTTTTAGACGTGATTTTTTTTTTTTCCCCCTTAAGAGCTCTCAAACCAACCAGACTAATAAAAATTTTGTGCTTAAAAAGATTCCTGGGCCGGCCCCGTGGCGCACTGGAGAGTGCACCACTTGGGAGCGCGGTGGCGCTCCCGCCGAGGGTTTGGATCCCATGTGGAGACCGGTTCCCGCTCACTGGCTGAGCGTGGT